TCTCTTTTGGACCTACTACCTCTGTAGTAGCTACACAAATGGTGTTCACCACTAACACGACACTGCTGTTAAGCCAAGAAGACATTCTGCCCATCACTCAAATGAACAACGGGACATGAATTTCAGTGCCAGTGTGGTGCTGGGTATCTTGACTGTGCGCCCTAAAGATCGAGAGATCATAGCAAACAACATTTCGCTTTGGTGGTTCACAAGAAGTAACTACTGACCCTACTGCATTTTTAAGACTCACTACACAGTATCCAACATTAGATGTGATTCTGCAATTGGGCAACATGTGTTTATCTTTTAACTTAACTTTCTTAACTGTAATGTTTAGCTTTTAACTTTATTTCCCTAATTTATGTTAGGAAGAATGGTAATGTAGAACTTTTAGCTTTATTCTTTATCTCTCATTTTGTACCTAATCTACTTTAGGACCTAAGATTTGTAACTAGGTACTTTGTGCCTTAGATAGCACCGTGTGTGGCAACATTGTACACTTTGTACTCTTGTACTTGCACGTGACAATAAAAGCTAATTCTAATTCTAAATAATCTGCGTGTATGAAGAATTATGCTGACAACTAATGTTGGAGTTTTAGTCAGGCTGACAATATGGCATTTTTGCATGTACTGGAGGTGCTTATAGTCATCCATAGGGTCATGGGTTTTGCAGACAGGAAGAACATGCACAGGGACTATGACTGTTTCAACCCAAAATGAATTGATAGCCATTTGCTAGTTCACCTCTCTGGGCAATATCCTGACCAATCCAGTCCACCTACTTCGTTTCACAGTTTGTTAATTAACTGGCAGTTATCATTAACTGCATTCCCCATGGCAACATATCTGCCAGTCAGTGTCCACTTGCCAACCAATCAGTGCTCTCTTCTCGTACAGCAAATATGTTGGTTTCCTCCCTAAATTGGTATTCTTGCAAACTGGTCTGATGAATATAAGACAAAATGTTTTTTAAAAATGTCCTTTTTCAGCAAAACTCTCGTTTTTACATTTTGAGTCATTGCAAACACATATTATTTGCTGTTAGCATCTGCTAAACTGAACATTTAGAGTAATGGACAGTTTTAATGTGCTGACCACAATGGCAACAATCTGATCACATTATCTTCATTAGTAGCACACCAGAACTGAAGTTTCAAACTGCTACCCTTATTGCTGAGATGGAGGCTTGGAGACTGAACCATGCTGCTTCAAGGACTGTAATACTGTTTTCCAGATATGTGGCATAATGTTACTGTTGCTCCCATACATGTTTCATTTAGATTTTTCCAACAAAAGTAGAAATCCTACTGTAATTACCAGACATGGGGGCTACAATTCAGGAGCCAGAAACTAGAATGTAAAATGTATGCCTTTCAAACTCAGAAACAATGTATTCATTTAAGGATCTGAACTATGGCTGTAACTTTATCTGTCCAGTATTCCTATTCTCTATCCATCCCTTCTTAAAAAAAAACAGCTTAAGATAAAGCACAGTTCTAGAAGAAAGGGGTTTTCTATTGGGTTATCTAGGGTTTAGTGGACAATGGGCCAAATGCTGGCAGATTGGGATGACTGGTCAGAATAGAAAAGTTGGACCAAAGGGTCTGTATCTGTGCTGTATGACTCTATGACTCTGTGAACATCCTTCAGCAAGCTCAGAGAAGCATACAGCACGGGGAAAGAACATTTTGCTCTTAGGAAGAGCTACACAATTAGTCCCACTCCTCCATAGATTTTATACCATAACAGCGTGCAGCACAGTATACATAGAAACCCTACAGTGTGGAAACATGCCCTTTGGCCGATCAAGTCCACACCGACCCTCAGACATCCCACCCAGACCATTCCCCTATAACCCACCTATCTACACATCCCTGAACACTACAGGCAATTTAGTATGGCCAATCCACCTAACCTGCACATCTTTGGACTGTGGGAGGAAACCAGAGCACCCGGAGGAAACCCACGCAGACATGGGGAGAATGTGCAAACTCCACACTGACAGTCGGCCGAGGGTGGAATCGAACCCAAGTTCCTGTTGCTGTGAGGCAGCAGTGCTAACCACTGAGCCACTGTGCCGCCCAGTACATTAAAGCCCAGACGTGTGTCAATTTGGAACCCTTTAAAAATGGAAAGTGTGATTGCTTTTGAGATCCCTATTCCCAATCTGACTTTAGGCTATTTTTGCCGGTATGGGATATAAGTGGATTAGGTAAAGCGATGCTGTGGTTCAGTGGATAGCATTGCTCCCTCACTGAGCCAGGGACCTGGGTTCAATTCCATCCTCGGGTGTATGGAGTTTGCACATTCTCCCCGTGTCAGCATGGGTTTCCTCTGGGTGCTTTGGTTTCCTCCCACAGTACAAAGATGTGCAGGTTAGGTGGATTGGCCACGCTAAATTGCCCACAGTGTCCACTTATGTGTGGGCTGGGTGGGTTAGCCATGGCAAATGCAGAGTTACAGGGATAGGGTGGGGGGAGGTGGTCTGGATGGGCTGCTGCTTGGAGGGTTGGTGTGGACTTGATGGGTCGAATGGCCTGCTTCCACACTGTAAGGGTTTCTACAACTCTAAATGCAGGTAGTATGCACCAAACTGTGCTAGTGCCATTAGGTTGAACAATCTAATGCCTCCCACAATTTTTACAAACCTGTACCCCTTATATGAAGATATATGGGTTATGGCACCACAAAGGAGGTGTGAAACAGGGGGGAATGCCCAGTCCTAAATAGGGAGCTAAAAGAAGTCACCTGTTCCTGGAATCTTTTTCAGTAACAGGTTTTGAAAAAGAAAATCAAATTGCTCTTTTAGGCTCAGAGGTTAAATGGTGTTTTGTTAGTTGACAATTATATTGGCCAACTCTGTCGACATTCATTTGAGTAACTTCCCACCAGGAAAAATGAAGAAAACATAGCTTGGGATTCTTAAATGTAATAATGAGAAGAGATTTAAATCTCCCAGCTCTGCAAAACTGAAAGAAAAATATCTGTAATTCTCACTTAAATAAGAAAGAAAAAGCCACCAGTTTCTGGAATGCATTGGTTGACTGGTGTCCTTTAGAAAAGAACTGTAGCCAGATGCCTTGCCGTTTCAACAGGCTTCATTGGCTATGAGCTACAATGGTTTGTTTTCATAGCAGTAGCCATTACACATGCTTGTTTGAATTTACAAAAGCTACAATACCACCCATCTTAGCAGTAGGCTGTCTTCATAATTTGACTGACCATTTTAAGAGATTACTAAAGGATTTTCTGCTTATGATGTGCTTCATGAAATAGATGTTTGTTTTTTGACAATATTATAGCTTTAAGAGGAGTACTTTGTCCTGTTCTTCTTTGGAGAGGCTTTAAGACAGAGACGCTGAGCTGTCTATTTGAGTCCAATAGGGTAATCAGCTTGTGAGGCCTTAAGTTGTTTTTAAAAGTTCGAACAATAGAAGCAGCCTGAATGGGTGGGGTCAAGCTCTCACAGAACCAAGATTTTAGTTTTAGTAATTCAGCAGCAGTTGTTGAGGTCTTGAAGTTGGATGTGGAAGCTCTTATTCCTCTTTCTGTTAGAGCTACTGTTGGGGTGCTCTTCCTGCTGCTAGAATTGCCTATGAGGCAAGCAATTTTTTTGAATTTATCTTTGCCATTGTTGTGTTTATGGAATGTTACTTTACTGGAACAGTTATTGTTTAGTAATTAAATCGCCATTATTCTGTTAAATTTTCCAATAGAGTTGTCATTCTACTTTCTTTTTCTTTTGTTGTATTTTAACTATAGTGTATCAATAAAGTGGGCTTTGCTTCAAGACTGGTAGTTTGGCAAATCAAATTGCATCCACTTTAAAATAAGAAAAAATTAGGGTCTAGGCTATCATCTTAATATATTTTGAAGAAGTTTGGTCTGGTCCATAACAGTTTTCTTTTTCAACAAATGGTCTATTTCTAGCTTCTTTTATGCAAGAGAGGTGTTTGTTTCAGTACGATGCGTGTTTGAATGTAGATCTATTACATTGCTGTAAGTTTAATTTTTTTGCATTTCCATGTTAAAGACTTGGGTCCAGAGGTATGCTCGTAGTGAATAGTGAATGAGTCAGCTAGTGGCTATGGATGAGACAATCAGGATATGGGAGGGGCATGGAGTGTGTAAGGGAGCATGGGGTATGTGAAAGGGCATGAGGAGGCATGTGGGGACAGTGTGGGATGGAGAAGGGTAGAGTTTGAGGGCCACCATTAAAACTGGACCAATGTCCATCACCCCACCTGACACCTTGGACTAGCCTCTGGAGGCAGTAGGGTCTGATTCCATCATGTGCTCTCTCAGTCTCCTCAGAGCTGGGTACTATTAGGTTAAGAAATGACTTAACTTCCGCCTCCACAAAAAATATGGCCTTAATCCTCAAGCTGTGGCTGTTCCAGATCCATCCTAATGGTAAACATTTCATTTACCATCAGTCTTCCATTTACCACCATTAACCCAAGGTTTTGAATCTGAGATTTACTAACAAACATGTTGTATATTAATGAATGTTTGCACTTTACAAAGGGGGCTCTTTTGTAATGTTCACTCCACTGGAATAGCCCTGTGCTAAAGCAAAATGATAAATCCTTTCACAACAAACCATGTATCAGGCTACAATACCCGAATCCAGCAACACTGATCATTCCATCAGGATATTATTCAACTTTTCTCAAGATATTTGCCAAAACAAAAAAAAAAAATCAAACTATCTGGCTTGTTAACTAGTTATTACAATTGTAAACTATACCACCTGAGAAACCTTTAATGCTCCAATTAGCCACCCATGGTCATGCATCCAGAAACACTTGTTTTTGGTTTAGGAAATTGCAATGTGTAGAGATCGGTTTTTGTTGCCATTAGACTTTACATCTGGATTTGATATCAATTAATGGAAATTCCCTTGAAAATATTGAACTTACTCAGATCAAACACATTAGCACAGTACCTGGCCGGAAGGTGGCATCCACATAAGATGAATATTTCCAGTGTTCTAGGTCAAAATCTTTAGTGACAATGTCATTTGGAAGACTTTTCTTAATCTGCTGCTTGAGAGGGTCATTAGTTTCCAATAGCTGTGACAGATGGGTCCATACAAATGAGCCGACTGTGAAAACAAATTTCATTGTCAAGTGATAAAGAATGATCATGCTCGGGAGACTAGATTAGTAGATGTTGGAATCAAATAATTGAGTCTCAGGTCATTCCAGGATTGGATCTTACACACTGTGATCCTTCCTGAAATCAGATTAAGCAACCTGAGCAATTTCTAAATTTATTAAAAGTGCTTCTCATTGTATGAGAACAAAGACGTGTTAGCAGTATCGGAAGAAATAGCCACTAAAACTGATTCTGAAAGTGAGTCTTGTTCTAAATAGTAATTACTGACTCTGCAGAAACTAAATCTGAATTTGGTCTATATAGATCACATTCTGCTTGATAAGTAAATGCTGAAATTTATTAACTGAAACATTCATGCTCAATCTCACACTTCTTTTGGCTACCAATTGAAATAATGGCTCTAATTATAACGTTCCACTTCCCAAAAATCAGGTGAGGGGCCAGTTCAAATAGAGAGGGGTCTTTTCCCACACTGATCTGGCTGGAAATGATTTTAAAGTAAACTTGGCCATATACAGCCATGTAGAATTGAGGTTAGAAATGAGATCAGCCATGAACTTATTGAATGGCGAAGCAGACTCAAAGGGCCGAATGGCCTACCTATATTTCTTATTTGTACGTAAGACAGTAGGACCCATCTTCAAAAGCACTGTGGGCTCCCATGTCATCAGCAAGGCCCAATCTGCCACTTCAACCCACGGCCTGTTCAACCAAACTAAGCTGCGGATGTGGCCCAGAAAATAACTCCATTACTGTGTGCTCCCTGTAATCGCCCACACCCTGGGAGTGTCTGAAGGAGCTGCTAAGAGTCTATTTTAGTGGCTCCGTGCGTTAACCATAAGAAATAGAAACAGGAGTAGGCCGTTCAGCCCTTCAAGTCTGCCTTTCCGTTCAAAAGGACCATGGCTGATCCGACATTCCTCACGTCCACTTCTTGCCTTCCCCCATAACCCTCGATTGCCCAACGGGTCAAAAATCTATTTAACTCAGCCTTAAATATACACACGAGGACTCAGCACCCACAGGTCTCTGTGGCAAGGAGTTCCAAAGACTCTCAGCCTTCTGGCAGACAAAATTCCTCCTCTTAAATTGGTGTCTAAGATGCTGGTCTCCTGTCATTATAAGTTCTACGTCTGCATGCTGGCCAGACAGCGATTCCCATAGGGATTAGGAGGAAATATGACCTTGCACATACGGATGGTGTGAGGAATAAGAATTTTCTGAGTGTCAACATGCGAACCTATCATTTAGCCTGGCCCGTGACCCTCCCATACCTTAAGCCTACCCAAAATAAAATTAACACTCCAACTCAAATATGATCAAACCAAAATGTCAGGTTTCTTAATAGCCAGAACTACCCTGTAACATTAATCTATCAAATAACTAGGATAGAAATAATTTTTAGTTGTTGTTAATAAATTTAATTTCAAGCATTACGATTTGCTGCTCTTCCTTCAACCAATATTCAGTTTTGCAATTAAAACAATCATATTGTTGAGCAGTTCTGATATTATTTTCAGAAAGAGTCACAAACACCTCAAAAGTGACCAATAAATATACTTAAAATTGTGAAATTAGAAAACGCAGTAAAGTGGTATTACCACATTTAAAACACTGTGGGCTAATTATTAAAGTTGAATAAACAATAAAAATGAACAGTAACAAATTAATTGGCAATATGTAGGTCCTGCTGATAATTTTCTCCAGAGCGACTCAACAATAAAGATGTAAAATGCTAGGATTTATTGCAAATTGTAAAATCATATCAAGTTCCCAACCTTGACTGGATCTTTCATTCTGTAGAGTGACTGCCACTGTATCAAATAGCTGCTCACTGGGACATTTCATTAACATGTAGTAAGAAGCAATTCGGAGTTCGACATCTTCATCCACTGTTTGATATAGCTGTCTTAACACAGTGCGCTGGAAACACAAACAGAACCACTGAGATGACAAGGATCAGACAGAACAAAGGAATCATATCCCACAAAGGAAACAGTAGATAGAAAACGTACAGCATAGGAGAATGCCATTGCATCCATGGTGAGTGAAAAATAGTTTCTACCTTTCTGTTCATGCTCTGTACCCTCTTGGGGATGACACCTCGAGTGCATATTCACATTTTTAAAAAAAACCTCTCTGCCTCTCCCATCGAATTGTCCACCGACTAATTTAAGTCTATGCCACTCCCTGCTTATAGAAAGCAGTCCTTGTTACCTATCTAGGTCCTTCGTATTTTCATATCCCTGTCAGCTATGGCACAGTCAGGATCACACTCAAAGTTTTTGTGAAAGAAAATAATTGTAGATGTTAAGGGCATGTGCTTTAATTCCACGTATAGGCTATAATACTAATGAATACATACTCGATATTGTAAATGAGAAAACAAATCCTAAAAACGATATCCAAAGAAGGAAATCTCAGTTCTGAGGAAGGGTCACTCGATCCGAAACGTTGACTCGGATTTCTGTCCACAGATGCTGCCAGATCTGCTGAGCTTTTCCATCAATTTCTGTTTTTTTGTTTCTGATTTACAGGACCCACAGTTCTTTCGGTTTTTATCGAGAAAATCTCCGCATTTTGTACGGGACATTGTGAGGCCACTTTTAGAATATTGCATTCAATTCTGGTCTCCCTGCTATGGGAAGAATGCTGTTTACCTGAAAGAGTTCAGAAAAGATTTACGAGAATATTTCCAGGATTGGAGGGTTTGAGCTATAGGGAGAAGCTGAATAGGCTGGGGTTTTTTTATTCCCCTGGAGCATCAGAGGCTGAGGAGTGAACTCAGAATTTATACAATAAGCGTCATGGATAGGGTGAATAGCCAAGGTCTTTTCCCCAGCATAGGTGAGTCCAAAACTAGAGGACTTAGGTTTAAAGGGAGAAGGAAAAGATTTAAAAGCAACCTGAGGGGCAACTTTTTCACACAGAGGCTGGTGCGTGTATGGAATGAGCTGCCAGAGGAAGTGGCAGAGGCTGGTACAATTACAACATTTAAAAGGCATCCAGATTGGTACATGAATAGGAAGGGTTTAGAGGAATATGGGCCAAATGCTGGCAAATGGGTCTAAATTAATCTAGGATAACTGATTAGCATGGATGAGTTGGATCGAAGGGTCTGTTTTCGTGCTGTACAGCTCTATGTGCACAGTGTGTTCAATCATTAACTTGTCTCTTTCTCTATATCGAAAAAGATGTGAGAGTCAAGTATTTTTTTTAAACACAGGGTATTAAGTGCCTGGAATACACTGCCAGAGGAGGTGGTAGAAACAGATACAATAGCAACGTTTAAGAGACATTTTGACAGATACATGAAAAGGCATAGAGGGATACAAGTCAGATAGAGGCAAAATGCTTTTAATTTAGAAAGGCATCAAACATTGGCACAGGATTGGTGGGCTGAAGGGCCTGATTTTGTGCTGTGCTGTTCTTTGTTCTTTGTAGTACTGAGGGAGTACTGTCCATTAGAAGTGATGTTAAATCGAGAACCAGTCAGACTGCTTCGATGAAGACCAAGCAAAAGCACCAATCTGTTCCTGTCATTATAGAATCCTATTTTACTGTTGCTTTCCAGACCTTCTTCCTGTATCCCCTGTATAATTAAGCCACTGGTGGCGCTTGACGCTGGCTGTACTCCTCAGAGGCAAACATAGGTTTGTGTGAGATATACACAGGAGACTCCTTCACTGCCTGTGAGCTCCTCATTGTCGCTCACTCCCTGCCCAACTGCACGTGGGGAGACCATCTCCAGAAACGTGCAGCTCTCAGCCTCACGGAAGCACCTTGGGTAACACAAGCTGGTGCACAAGCTCCAAAATCCAGAGTACGAGCTCCTCCAGCTGAAAACACTTGGTCATTGGGGACATGGGAGTTTGTATGTAGGACTGTTTAGGCAGATCTTTCTTTAAATCAATACTTGATAAATCAAAACCCAACCAAGAATGACTATCCTGACAAGGACAGAAATATGAATAATCTGTTGTGAGATATTATCTTACATCAGCTTCACAGGGAATGCGTCTGAAAGCACCAATAACTGCGAGCCGCACTTCCAGCAGACTGGATTTTGCCTGTAGACATTTATTCAATACTGGGATCTGCGCTGTGGCAGCCAGACCAGCGTTTCCAATTGCTTTCAGGGACAACAGCACCTGGAGATGATATAAAAACACACACACTCCCATTAGTCACAACTTTTGTAGACCCAGCGAGCATTCAACAGCAGAAACTGGTAAATGGTACACCATAATAGTGGAAAATGTCTGCTCACTCCAAAGTGATGGAAGAGGTAATTTACCTGGCTTTGTGCTTCTGTCAGAATCACCCACATCGTAAAGTTAGGCACTCGATTTTCCAACCATTAAATTAAATGGTTGGAAATCTAATGTCTATTGCACGCCCAGGTTTCTGCTGTGCTCCCTGCAGAGGGCATGGATTTAGAAATCTGCATCTGCTGGGCTGCCCAAACAGATAGGGAATGAGCAAAGAGATCCCAGAATAGTACCATCTGGGGTTAAGGCTGTGTGTTTACCCATTCCTAAAATCTCTCAATGATCCTTGTTAAGTACATGAGCTGGGGGGGGCTTGTAAACCTCTCCAAGAGTTCACGTGCTCTCATGAATAAGTTAAAGAGGCAAAGAAGTGAACTGTTCATCATTCACATATTAGAGAAATCTAATTTTAGAGATTCAATAGCAACATTTGTCTTAAAGGCATTTCAAAGGGTAACAGAGTGAGTTAGCACACTCGCCTTTTCTCTCTGGTACCTTGATTGGATTTGCCTGCTGAACCTCCACACCAAAGGCTATGTGATGGACTTCCATTAAATTGGTCCCACACTTATAGACAAGATAAGTTTGCTATTGGCTTCTGGATGATGAGAAGATGGTCCTCATCTTACTGCATGGCATTAGGCCTATTGAAGATCTAGAGGCTAATAATCAGTTTGACTCTGTTACAAACACACCTCCCATGGTCAACATCCTAGCCTGAGACCTGAACCCAGAGATTCTGGCCTGGTGGTAGGGGACATAAGCACTGCAGCAGAAGAACTCCTGGGTTGAACTGAGTTAGATACAAAAGCACCTTCTCTGAACTATAAAGGTCTCAAGTGAGTCTAATGACTTCAGCCTAGTTCCTAGTAAGTGCAGGTTACAAAACTCACATCGCTCAGATAAATTATTGGCAGGGCACAAAGAGGCGAAGAAGAGGGCTTCTGGATAAAGAGGGAATATATTTATATATATTTTAAAAAAACTCATTAACCTGGTCAGAGATGTTATTATACACCTCTGGAGCAGGTGGGACTTAAACCTGGGCCTCCGAGTGAGGGATAAGGACACTCCCACTGCATTACAAAAGGGCCCCTTGTACTGACACAGAAGGGCTAATGTGTGGAGATTAAGGTTAGGATGGAATTGTGGATGAGGTATGAAAGAATAAATGGGAATTATTACAACACATCATACTGACGTATTTATATTTCTGCACTATCATCAATTTCATGCCCTATCACTCCAGCGAAAGCTTTTACTGTTCTGTTGTGGTTTCTCAGGGTGATCAGAACACAGACTCTTCATTGAAAAGTGACAGATTAATTCCTTCTGATCGTTCTTCAAATAATTAATAGAGATGGACTGTGCAGGCGTACTCTTTCACTGTTACTATGTCAAGTCCATAACCATTGATCCTACAATTTCTGTCTCAAATTTTCAACCCAACTGGACTATCTATTTTGTTAAACACATTTATATTAGATGTCCAGTGAAGCTAGAGCATTTGTTCATACATAATTTTGTTCATAGCAGGCGAAAAGATACAAGGCTTGCAATCATTATAGATCTCGCAGCTCAGTGCTGATATTTTATCTAAACATGCAAAGAAATGCAGACAATACCTAAAGGTTTAGAAGTAAATTACATTCACAGCACAAAGATTTAAATAACAAATCTTGCAAGCAATCTTCTATCAACAAATAAAACAGCAATGAATTATGATTAACGTTAATTTTAACTTCAGGTAGAATAATCAATATATAGAATACAGCATAGGAAGAGGCCACTTGGCCCATTAAGCTGACTCTTTGAAGTGCAATCTAATTAGACCAATTCTCTCACTCCTCATATCTCTGCAACTTTTTTTCCTTTGAATATATATCTGATTCCCTTTCGAAGGCTACTGTCGAATCGGCACCTTCCACCCTAGAACTGCACCCAAAATCCTATCCACTAGTTGTATAAAATTCTTAACATTATGCAAATGGTAGATAATACATTAATATCATTTGGGAATTTGGATTTTAAATTTTGGGTGAAATAGATGTTTCATTTTGTTTCTGTGAGTTTATTTTTTAAAGAAGAGGTCAGAAAGTAATGTGGAACAACGAAAAAAGGATATCATTTCCAAAAGGTTATGCAATTTGATCTGGCAGGCTACCTGTTTACAAAGTTGAACTTCTATGACGTTTAGATAAAACAGACCAGGGTGACTCTTTTTTTTGAATTCAGAAGAATCAGGTTTCAGTTTAGGAGCACAGGTTCCCCGTCGCAGAAGTGGGGTGTCTTCTGTGATGTCTCCACACTGTGAGAGTTTGTGGAGAAGTTTCCAAGCTACCAGAACTGAAAAGCTTTAGGAACTGGAAAAAGTCAGTTACGTGAAAATGTAGAATTAAAGTAGGAATGATACTTCATGGGTGTGAAAATCTATAAAGATTATTGCTGGGAAAAAGGTTGAAACTTTGCTTTGCTGTTTATTTTAAGATCTTTCTAAGCTATATGACTTGGTTTTTTGTGTAATTGTGATGATTCTATGGCTTTAAGAGGTGTATTTTATCCAGTTTTTTTTTGAAGAGAGGTTTTAAGACAGAGGCGCCTAGCTGTCTATTTGAATCCAATAAATAGCTTGAGTGGTTTTGGATACTTTTTTAAAGTTGGAACAATAGGAGCAGCCTGAATGGGTGTGGTCAAACTCCCAGAGAACCAGGAGTTTTTGTTTTAGTTTTTTAGTCGCAGTTGCTAGGGTCTTGAGCCTCAATTTGGACGCTGCAGTACATCTCTCCCTGCTACTCTCTCTCTCTCGGGCTTTTCACTTGACATTTTTCCTCCTGAGCTAGAGAACTGCTTGTGAGATTTTATTGTAATATTACTGAATTTGCCTTTGCCAAGGGTGCGTTTATGAGATGTTACTATATTGGAACAGTTAAATAATCTATTATTCTGTTAAGTTTTCCAATAGAGTTGTTATTCTAATTTCTACTTTCATTGCATTTTAACTATAATTTTTGAATAAACTGTTTTGCTTCAAGATTGGTAGTTTGACCAATTGAATTACATCAGGAATGCAATGCCTGGCACTTATCTTTAAAATAAGAAAAAGTTGGGGTCTAAGCTATCTTCTTAACATATATCGAGGGATTTTGGTCTGGTTCATAATGAATTTTAAGTTCTTTTGTTAAAAAACTTGCCAACTTTGTGTGAACATCCTCAATCACCAATCCCTATGGTAACTAACTGGAAAACAAATTAATCTATGGTCTATGAAGCTAGGTTTCACTCATCATCTGAGTTGCTTAGTATTACCATCTGCTAGGATCATAAGATTGCTTCTTCTGATTCTTTTGAAATTTTGTGTCCTCTTGTTATCAATTGTAGATGTTGAACACATTTGGTGGAATTTTACTCCCTTCCTGAGAATGTCTCGCTGATGCAGGGAGGGGATTGGGCTGTAAAATCAGTAAAATCAACCTAGTGGGGTCGTGCCTGTTACTTCAAGATGAGACAAGTTTGCTAAATACATATTGGCTCAGCAAGCACAAATCTGAAAAAGAATCATCAAGTGGGAACCAGTCTGTGGGGCAGATTTATTTGTGACACAGAAGTGGAGAAAGATCACATATTAAAACAGAAAGCACTGGAAAAGCTCAGCAGGTCTGACAGCACCGGTGGAGAGAGAAACACAGTCAATATTTCAGAACTCCTTTGGACCCTCTTCTGAAGAAGAGTCACATCGGACTCAAAACCTTAACTTTGCTTCTCCCTCGAAAATTGCTGCCCAACCTGCTGAGTTTCTCTAGCACTGTCTGCTTTTATTTCAGTTTTCCAGCATCTGAATATTTTGTTTTGTTTTAAGAAACAGGAAGATCACAAGATTCTGAACAGTGACAAGGCTTCTAAACATATGTAAGACTATGAAGCAGAATGACCTGGTATTTCCTCTTTGATCAAGTTATTAATGCAGCTTACTTTATCAGATCCCAGAGTGGGACTTGAACCCAGAACATCTGCCCTGATGACAGAGATGCTACCCCTTACACCACAAGACTTCATCATATGATACAAAATTTTACTATTTAAAATTTGAGGGGTCCATTCAGATGTAAGCACATGCTTTGTCTGCGCCATAGACCTGACAAAGGGGCTGCACTCCGAAAGCTAGTGATTTCAAATAAACCTGTTGGACTATAACCTGATGTCATGTGATTTTTGACTTTATCCACCCCCCAGTCCAACACCGGCACCTCCACATCATACTTCACATATTCATGTGTATTTGTTATTATAATAATTTAGTTGTAATTATAGGATACAATGGGTCAAATGGCCTCCCTTCTGTACCAATAACTCTTCAGTGATTCTGAATAAATGCAGACATTTGGGGTAGGGTGCAGCATTGTAAAATAGAACAGGCTTGTACCTGTTGAAGACAACACACAGTTATACCTTCTCCTTTCTCTCAGGATCCCGTGCTCGGCAGTTTCCTTGTACATAACTTTCGAGGATCTTCATGAACTCCTGCACCTCCGGGACCACTTGACAACGATTGCGCATCGAACAGAAGTTATGAACCAGTGAAGAAATTCCGAGAAAGGCCTGTGTGCGCGTGTCGGGTGATCTCAGCAGGGCCTGTGAATTAAAACCAATCCAATTGATAAGACTCCACACTTTCTTGTAATCAAAGGAGCTTGATAACACAATCATTGGCACAGTTTTCTCTCCCAATCTTCCTCACCTTTGTAAAGGATCAATTCTATGTCCTGCTTCCAGAGAATAAAATCATAGAATCCGATGATGGGCTGAATGGCCTGCTTCCACACTGATGGAGGCCATTTGGCCCATCGGGTCTGCCATGATCCTCTGAAGGGCATCCCACCTGCCCCATACCCATAATCCTGCATTTCCCATGGCTAACCCACCTAGCCTGCAGATCACTGGACAATATGGACAATTTAGCCTGGCCATTCATCCTAACCTGCACATCTTTGGACTGTGAGACGAAACCGGAGCACCCAGGGGAAACCCACGCAGACACGGGGAGAATGTGCAAACTCCACACAGACAGCTGCCTGAGGTTGGAATTCAACCTGGGTCCCTAGTGTTGTGAGGCAGCGGTGCTAACTACTGAGCCGCCCAAACTGTTAGCAAAACTGAGCAGACACTTGTATCATAATTCATTGACAAATGGATCTTTTAAGACCAGTTCATGTGTGATATGCCTGTGCCAGGATGAGCAAGTTAATGTTTCCACCATTAGACCTCTGACACCGCCAACTGATAATTATTCATACTCCATCACACCACAATTTATAATAAATTTAAGACTATGGATTAAACGAAGGGTAATTTTTAGATTAGCAAGAAGCAGGATGAGCACGACAGTTAGTGGATTGCCATAAGAATGCCCAAATGATTCACTAATTTCCACTGCACAGAAGAACCTATTCTTAGCCCCACTTATCCCCATTATGTCACTAATGCCTGTGGCCAGAATTTTGCTACTGAGGTAAGTAGCTAGAATTCAGTGATTTCTGCTTTCAGGGAAGGGGACAGAATTGAGTCAGGACTGCCAAACCCTGATCAGATCAGTAGCACCCGCCAGGATGGGTAAATATCTAGGCAGGCTCTGGCAATGGCATAGTGGTATTATAACCGGACTGTTAATCCAGTAGGCCCAGGTAATGTTCTGGAGACCGGGGTTTGAATCCCACCACCGCAGATTCAATTAATAAAAATCTGGAATTATGAGTCCAATTATGACCATGAATTTGTTGTCAATTGTCAGAAAAACCCATTTGGTTCACCAATGTCCTTTAGGGAAGTAAACTGCCATCCTTACCTGGTCTGGCCTACAGGAGACTCCAGACCCACAGCAATGTGGTTGACTCCTAACTACGGTCTGGACAATTAGGGATGTGCAATAAATGCTAGCCTAGTCAGTGACATCCTAATTCCATTAATGAATAAAAAAGAAGTACAAGCTCTGTTTTGACTTAATTATTTTAAAAGGGGCCCTTTAACCATCACACCTCATGGCCTCACATCTCCCACCCACTCCCCACACCTTCTCCATGCCAATTCATGCCCCCACAGGGTACCACCGCAGCATCTCATACCCATCAAAACTCCTTAATGACTACTCACCCAGTATCTATCACTGGCAGGCCTCAGGAGCGAAATGGAGATGAAAAGAGCAATAAAATTCTAACAATGTAATGAGGCTCCTTTGATACAAGCAAATCATTAAATTCATTCAAAGATTTTAAATCCTGTCATACAGCCAATCTGTTATAAAAACAAACTTCTTTTCAATAGTCATACCACAAGACAGCTAATCCTTTAATAATCTCTTTAATCTGTCAATCGAAATGTGAACTCAAACCTCCTTGCCTCTCTGAGGTATATGTTTTTGGGGCGTTTGAAACTCAGACAAGCTCAGATAATGACCTCAATTCTAATAATAATCATTGGGAAATTGGAACAATAAAATTCCTTGAAACCCCAGGAACAGATGGCAATGATTTTTTATAAGCTACACCAGATAGTATGTTAATCAAATCATCCACCAATTACTTTAAAAGCTATGGTCTTTTCCATGTCGAAAGTGCTAGCAATATCATAACTTCTGGTCATGATATTCAAAGAAAACATTCTGCTCTTCAAGAGCATTTATGCCTATACCATGAAATCTGTCACCACAAATTGCAGGTGAACAGTGAACATGAGCTTGTTTGAACCCAGTACTAATTCCAATTGCACCCGACTTCAAATTGTGGAAAAGCACCTCAAGCCCTAAAATTGTTGAACT